TATGTATGGATGGTTGTTTGGAACCAATAGAAGATATGAAATGAAAATTCTTAATTCATTTTAAAGAAATAACTTTAATTCATTTACTATAACTTTAACTCAACGGTACAAGGCGAATTCATCTATGTTATCTTCTCTGAATAATCCATATGAAAAGCAACAAAAAATTTTCAAAAATATACTGAGCATTAGAGGTCATTCTAAATAGATTAGCAAAAGCTTTTTTTTTGCACATTGTAAGAAATGAAAAAAAAATTAATTGATTCTTTAGTTTTATATAAAAAAAAATTAGTTCAATAAGAAAATAGAAATTGCTTGTTGTCTATTAAAGATAAATACCGATGATGAAAATCGATTAAAATTAATTGAAAAAATTTTTATTCTTTTTTTTTTAATTCAAACTCAATCAGATAGTCCTCAATTATTTTATGATTATTTTGAATGATTTACTCAATTATTAAATGAAATTTTTCACAAAAAAAGATTCATAATTAAAATCATCTATTGAAATAATTATTTTATCAAAATATTTATCCTTATCATTCAACAAATAGTATTACATTTGAATATTAACTTCGTTTAATACGTTATTCATTACATCAAAATTTACAAATATTTGAATTAAAAATAAAAAAAAAATAATTATCTTAATCAACTTTTTCATCATAAATTTTTAATTTCTTTAAGTATTATTCGTCATTTATCATTATAAATAGCTATTCTAATTTATGAACATAATCTTTATCAATTATTTGATGATAATTTCTTTTCACATATTATTAAACTCTTTTTTTTGTTTCAGATCAAAATTTTTATATATGTTATACTCTTGCATAATTTTTGGCATTATATATTTCTAAACATTATCAATATAAATTATTGAAATCAAATTCAAAAACAATCTCAAAATTCAAATCTTATTTAGAACATTTTAATATTATTTAATCAAAATAAACAAGAATTATTAATTAAACAATTGAGTATTTATCAAAAATCTATCAGATAGTACAGCAATATGAACATTTATATTAAAAACAATTCGATATATAATTGATAAAGATCATATTGTATCTTATTTAAATCATATTCTAGAAAAATCTTTATCTGATTATGTTTATATAATTTTAACAATAATTTCATCTCGTTTATGAATATCATCATTGGATTAATAAATTAAGTGCTTGTCTTAAAGGTTTATTTCTTTATATGAAAGATATAGATATTGAAGAAATTGATGAAAATGAATAAAATAGTAAGTTCTTTATATCTATTATTCATTTTTTGGTTTTTTTTATTAATATATATACGCTTTGAAATGTCATCTTTAAGTCTGCCTAAAAATAAATTCTTTTGACTTCGAAAAGAACGATGTGAGATGTGTCTGTAATTTTTCAACAATCCCACATTCATTAAATGCGCAGGGATAGAAAATCTGTAAAAACTTCAATGGTAGAAGAAAAATTCTGAGTATTTAGGAGAAAATCAAAATTGAATTTTGTTTTACCGTTTTTTTTAAGGCCGCCTCCCCTCTCCAAAATTGATTTTCGTTATAGTACGTGGGGATTTCACGAAACTTTCTAGGAATGTTCGGCTCATAGTTGTACATATATTAAAAAAAAATTCAGGGCTCTAAACCTTATTGTTCGAAAGATTTCGAACAATCAAGGGGTAAAATTGGGCTTCCATGGGAACAAGGAGTTTTTCAATACACATCAAGCTACAGCGCCCGGGGTGGTCTCATTTGAAAGAGAACTCCTTGCTGCTTCGGATGAGGAAAAGGATTTTTTTAGTTTTCATTTTATTTCATTTTTGCAACTTTCGAAATCTTCGAGTTCAAAAATCCCTAGCGAAGGTTTTCAAGAGAACCTTTGGTTTTTTCAATATTAAGGACCAAATACAAATTTCATTTCCCTCATTCGAATGAGGATTCATCAATCTATCGAATAAAAAAAGCTGGAGTTCGATAGAACGAACTACAGTGAAAAAAAATTTGTTCGGAATTTCTCAGTTTTGCCAAAAATCAGTTTTGAGAAAAACGCTCGAATATTTTTTTCTTTGAATATTTTGTTGAATCATTTTCATATATTAGAGAGAAACATAGTTATATTGTATATCAATCAAAAGCGCATCAGCTGTCTCATCGAGTAGATGTACAACAGTGCGCCGTGTCATTGTTTGTCATTGTGGACGATAAAAACGAGTGGGCCTATAAGTTCTTTATAGTCTTAGGTTCCATGTTTTTTGCTAGAGAACTTTAGAAGTTCATCGATTATTCAAAAGAAACCTTTCGAAATTGGAAGTGATTTTCATGAATTTTAAAACTAGACACCTTAGAGGTAACACCCATATGTTTATCTCGAAAATTGAACTTTTTTAAAAAAGATCGATTTTTGAAGGGGAGGGGGCGAGCTTAAAACCAATTTTTTATACAAAAAATAAGTGTACTGTTTCGTTCCCATTTCTCTGAAATGGTAAATGGTTCTAGATTTGAAACATTTTTTTTTTATATACACTAGACACTATCTAACATAGGTATTTCTTTATTTCAAAAAATATTGCTTTAGTCATTTTTGGCAACTTTCATAACTTTTTTGTAGTAACAAAACAAGCGTCTTTTTTTAAGGCCACCCCCGTCAAAAATGGATTTCAGAATATGTTGGGGCTGTAGTGGGGAGGCGGTCTCTTATAGGTACTGCACTTTGACAGGCTCTTTCAAACAAAAGAAAATTCTATTAGCTACAATGAAGTTTCTTCAAGAATTCTTGGAGATGCGATTGAAAACTATAAAACGAGAAAAAATGAAAAAGATTTTTGGGTTTTTTCAAAAAACAGCTTATTTTTCGAATAGAGGATGACGAAAATCTTCAAAAATTTTTGGAAAAAAAAACCGAGGTGTCGAGTAAAACTTTTTGTCCCTTATGAGAAATCAGATGACGGACTGTCTTTCCCTACATTTATCTTAATTTCGGTTATTCTGACGAAAAGTGACTTTTTTGAGAGGCCTTAAGAGAGGATGCATGGCTCAATGACCGATATTTTTGATTATTGCAAATGAAAGAGCATATAAAAAAATATATAAATCCAAATTTTTAGCCTTCTAAGAATGATTCTTGAATAGATATGAAAGTAACATTGAACGTGCCTGTATAAAGCCCTAAAAATAAATGATTATGGTTTTTTTGATTATTTCTATTCTCAGTACGAGATTAGTATTTTTTCTAAAAGTTAATCAAATCAAATTGAACTATGTCTCAAAAGATAGAACAAGTTTTGCTCTACAAAACTATGTATTTAGATTTGCCTTTAATAATTTTAACGCATATCTATGAAGATTCATTCTCTTAAATATGACAAAAAAAAATATATATGTATAATCATTTTAAAAATGATGTGCTGTTTTTCAATATTGTTATGAAAAAAAAATATCGAAAAACATTCGGGCCGATAATAGTTTCTTATGGATTCAATAGAGCGAAAAAAACTGCACAAGATGCACTTCCGAAAGTAATCAAAAAATACGCGCATAGTACTTTGATTTAGTTCAAAAAGTTATAAAATGTTACCATTATATACCATTTGTTTAGGGTATTTTCGAAATTTGTCAGTCAAACCGTAATATATTCAAGATTTTTCTACAACATAAAAATTACACGATACAGAACATCTAGAATATAGTTTTAATATTAGTTCAATAGCCTATCTAATAGGACATTCCATGTCAAAATCAATTGCTTTAGATTCTTTATAGATGTTCTAAATTGAATATTTAACACTATGTAATACTGTTTATACTGAACATAACCTATGATGCAAAAGTAATTGCCGAAATGTCGAGACATGGTTCTCCGCTTAGGTACATTGTGGAGAGTCAAATATTTTTTTTTAAAAAGAGCGTTGTCTGAACTAGAAATTTTGCACCAGCTATATTTTTTAGAACGAGTTCGAGAAGGAGGAAAAATCAAAAATCAGACACCTCTAAAAAGATTCTTGCAACTTTTTTGCGACTTGAAAAATGTGTTTTTCTCAATTATTTTAGGCTACCTGCACTAAACTTTTACAAGAAAAACATCCAAATGTAGCGCATCAAAAACTCGATTGATATCAGCATTGTTAGAAGTTTTTAGATTCATTCTTGACCTTTAATCAACAAGATTTAAAAAATGAAATCTTTTTAAAAAGACTTTTTTTTCCAAGAACTATCAATCTGAAAGAATATTAGCCACCATCTTCAGAAATCATACATGAATTCGACTCATTTTGCATTATTCATTCGAAATATGTCAGATCATAGAAATTTAACGGAAAAAAATAGTTCAATGAATACTTTTTTTACTGCAACGAAACGGTCATGTAGTGAGAATAACCAAATTGTTCAGTCTCTCTTAGAAAAAGCAGTGTATTTGTATTAAAACTACAACCAAAGTTAACTTCTAATACATGATTAGAAAGAGTGTATTTTAAGCGACAAAAATCATCATTGAAAGTATTTTTCGATTCCCTTCTAGAATTAAAAAAAATTAACAGAAATAAAAAAAATTAACAGAAATAAAAAAAAATGATTTTGCTCACTGGCAAAATTGGGAGACCTTTTTTAGAGGTATTTGGTTTTTGGCTTTTCTTCCTTCTTAAATTCATTCTCGAAAAATATGGCTGGTAAAAAACTTGTAGTTCAGACAACGTTCTTCTTAATAAAAAAAAATTTGACTCACTACGATGTACCTAAGCAGAGAACCATGTCCTGACATTTTGGTAATTACTTTTGTATCATAGGTTAGCTTAATGAAGCATTTGTTGGACGAATATAATTTTATTGTGTCATTTTAGTTTTCTTCCTAGAACAACATCATAGTCCTAATTAATGCTAATCGTTTATTCTCGACAATAAATAATAATAAATCAAATTATATGCGTGCAATGATGTTTAAAGGTAAATAAAGTAGTATATTTCTTATTTTAGTGTTAAAAATGTAAGCTTATTTTCAGATCTTATTTCAAAAAAAATGCCAGAAAAAGTACTCGATTTATTTGATCAAATGAATATCCAACCTGATCAAGTTGGTTTCAATACTCTATTTAGTGCTTGTGCTCGTGTTGCTAATGATCATGCTAAAGAAATTGGAAGAAAACTTCTTGATCAAATGCCTAAACATTTTCATAATAATAATGTTTTACTCACTTCAGCAATAAATATGTTAATGAAATTTGGTGATGTTGAAAATGCTGAAAATTTTTTCCAAACGATGAAAAAGAAAGATGTTATTGCATATGGTACTATGATGAAAGGTAGGTTGACGATGAGAATTTATCAGATATTGAATAAATTATATTTAGGATATGTGGAAAATAACATGTATGAAAAAACATTAGATTTATTTGAACAACTACCTTTTCCACTTCATAATGTTGGTTATACTATAATATTCAATGCTTGTGCACAACTTTTGAATGATCGTGCTAAACAAATCGGAAGAAAACTTCTTCAACAAATGCCTAAAACTTTCTATAACAACAATATTATACTCACTTCAGCAATAGATATGCTAATGAAATTTGGTGATGTAGAAAATGCTGAGAATCTTTTCCAAATGATGAAAAAGAAAGATGTTATTGCATATGGAGCGATGATGAATGGATGTAATATAAATAATCAACCGTTCAAATGTTTACAACTACTAGAAGAAATCAAACAACAAAATTTTATACTCGATGAATTCTCATCAAGTATATTGATAAATGCATGTGCACGACTTAGTATGCTTTCAAAATGTCAATTAGTTGTTGATCAAATTCCTTCACATTTATATAAAAATCAACGTATACTTAATTCATTAATTTATATGTGGGTATGTAATCATTTTTAAAATTCTTGCCACAATTGATTTCATTCACTCATTTCTTTTCGTCATAGGGAAAGGTTGGTTCTATTGAAAATGCTCAGAAGATTTTTCAATCTATCGATAATCCTGATGATTTTACATATAATTCATTGAGTAAAAAGAAAGATTTTTTTATAATTGTGTTTGTATTAATTTTTTTTGTTTTTCAAGTTTATATCTATGGACTTAATCGAATGGGTTTAGAAGCTGTTGATTTATATCGAAAAATGCCTGATCATTTACGTAATGAAATAACATATGTATGTGTATTAAATGCATGTTCTCATTCGGGTCTTCTTAATGAAGCTCGTTCTATTTTCAATGAAATTTCTCAGAAAAGTAAACAAATTATTACTGCAATGGTTTGTTTATTTATTTGCTTATTTTGTCAAATAAGAATATTATCTTATAATTTAGATTGATTGTCTAAGTCGTCTTTATATATTTGATGAAGCACAAAAACTCATCGATGATTATGAAAAATCTAATCCACCTTATTCAGTTATGTATAGTAAGTGTTCTCGAAATTCGAAATTTTTTTTGTTTATATTGCTAAATATTTGATTTTAGCGGCGATATTATCTGGAGCACGTAATTCTCGTCAACATATTTTATCACAAAAAATGTATGATAGAATGACAATGTTATTTCCTAATGAAAAAGAGACACTCAAGTCTGGTTCAGTTCTTCTTGGTAATACATATTTATCTATAGGTGATCATGAACAAGCAGAGAATGTTCGATTAAATCGAATAAAAGAATTAGGAACAAAAATTCAACCAGGAGTATCATGGACAGAATTCAAGGGTGAAATTTCAGTAAGAATATTTTCAAATTAACATCATGAAATTTGAATGAAAAATAAATCTGTTTATTTTGTCTTGTTTCTCAGGAGTTCAAAGCCAATGATCGTCGTCATCCTCGATCTGAAGAAATCCATGCCAAAGCAAAATATATATTCGATGTATTGATCAAACATGGTCATGAATATGATGCTAGTTGGATAACTCGTCCATTAGGTGAAGATGAAACAACTGAATCTGTATTATGTACTCATAGTGAACGACTAGCAATTGCTTATCATTTTTTACAAGAAGAAAATCCATCGTTTATTCAGATTACGAAGAATCTTCGTATGTGTGGCGATTGTCGTAAGTGCTTCTTGTTCTGTTTTTTTCCTATCTTTATTAGTAATTTATATATCTATTGTTTTAGATCGGGCAACAAAACTCATTGCTAAAATCTGGCAATGTAAAATTATTGTACGTGATGCAAACTGTATTCATCACTTCTCGCCTGATGGAACTTGTTCATGTCAAGATCATTTTTAGTTGTTATTTTTCTTTTTTTGTTTGTTTTTGTTTGTATTGTTTGTCACTTTTTTTCATATGAAAAAATAAACATTATATATGGTCTAATCGTTCTCTTTTTTTTTCTTTAACTCATGAATGTGAAGAAAATCTTTTTGACTATGAAAGAAGTATCAAGTAACGAATGATTTTAAAATTTTTATTTCTTGAGCAGAACTGCAAGCTGATATTAGTCATTGGTCTGGATATGGGATGGACATGTGTGGTGCGGCTATGGGTGTAACTCTTGTATTCGCGAACATCCACACTCTGCCATTAATACCTTTTTGAATAAAAATCACTAAACAAAAAATCGTTCATTGATTGCTACCATTATAATTAGAAATAGTGCATGAATTAATAGTTGATAGATATTTATCTTACCATTTCTTCTGGACATGTATGACTTTACCTAAGATAAACTATTTCTTGTATAAATAGCAATGGTACAGAGAATGATGGGTTGACTTCACACCAATTATGTTTGCATCATAGAATATTCAACTCTTATCAGGTTGGTTCCTAGAATATTACTCAATAACATTCGATGAAATAAGTTTCAGAAAAAAAAAA